GTGTGTGTGTGTGTGTGTGTGTGTGTGTGTGTGTGTGTGTGTGTGTGTGAATCCATTTTAACATGCGAACATAGTTCCAGTCTGTTGTTGGCGTCAGTACACGGTAGTTTACAGAAACTTGTAGGTGCTTTTCATCCAGAGCGCCTCGCTACGGCGGGATATTGGGGCCATTGTAGGTCAAAAATATATAATTACGGAGCTATGGGGGGGGGGTGGTAATATTCCTAGAGAAAACACAGAATTTCAGAGATTAAAGTCATAAATTTAGGAAAAAAGAATATGGAAATTATCCGAGATTAAAGTGACAAATTAACAAATAAAATCTCATGGAACTCATTTCTCCACATGTTGGGCTGTAGTAGGAGCCCATCAACGTCTAAAGAGTTTGGAGGGCGGTGTCTTTTTTTTAGCACAAAGAGGGAAAGTTCCAGGGCTGGATTAAACTGTATATTTATCTGCTTTTCTCGTAAGCTGCTGCTATCGTTGGAATGTCCGGCTAACTAGCTCACGGCAGCAACGTGACTTGCTGTTACTTCCAGACCAAGGAGCACATCATTAGCCACCTCCTCTGGGTCTACATGTTGAGTGTTGAAGTGAAAGCCCTGTTAATTAACAGCAAATCCGCTGTGTAGTTCTCCCCGACCGGGTGGAAAAGGGTCCAAAGGTGTTACTATATCATCTAACAACTCGTTAGACGCTGCAACCCAAGAACGATGCTGCGTCTTTATCTCCATGTATTCTACACGATGTTTCTTTTACCTGGGACATGCACCTTCACCCTCCGCCGTTTAGCACAATGAATGTAGCCATCACGAGCATATTCATGAGCCTAGTACAGGGTTCTCATTCTGAAACGAGTCTGTGTCAAAGGTAGCAGAAAGTAGAAACATTCTATGGTCATTTTTGAAGGCACTTTATTGTAAAAGAAAAAGTGGCCTCTCAAATAAAAGATAGAAAGTAGTGAAGTAGGAAAAGCTGGCAGCGACTAGACACAGACCCACCCACCCCCTCTCTCTCTGGATGATGTGATGACTCACCGCTCACTGATATTGCTCTGCTCTCTACTGTGTGTGTGTGTGTGTGTGTGTGTGTGTGTGTGTGTGTGTGTGTGT